TGCTAACTTAAAAATGCAAAGTAAAAAAATGTACTGCAGTGCATAATTGATAATTTCCATATAGATAACTTTCTGTTGATGGGGAGAAATTATCACAATTCTGTACAAACTTTCTGAAATTCTGTTAAATTAGAATCACTTTAACATCACAACTGCTTTCAATGAGGATTTAATTTCAATCTGGCCTAAAATCCCTTTCTTTCCCATCCCCTCCTTCCTCAAATTCTAATCTGTGGAAAAAATAAATTTTAAAACAAAGTCCATTGAAATAGGTTTCTTGTGTGTATGGGTGAAAAATCAGACTTGCAAAGGAACCTTGGCCTTGCACAAACTCCACTAAAATCAAAGGACTCTCATTTGACTTTAATGGGCTTTGGATCAAGCCTTTAATCCACATTTCATGTAAAATAACAGGGTTGGTTTAATATAGATGAGACGGAAACAGAGAAAATAGCAGGAGTCAAGATTAGTTTGGTTTAGTTACTTTTTTTTTTTTAATGTAATGTAAAGTGGGAAGATGTGCTAATTTACTGATAATTACACGTAAAGCTCTGCCAACAGTATGTTAGGATGTGTAGGCTACAAAGCATGACTATAGTGTGAGGATCTCATGGTTGGGAGAAAAAGGCAGTGCTAATGCAGCAGTGGAATTAGGACAAACATTTTTATCTCTGTAACGATATTTAAATTGTTTCAGATTTTTTTTTTCTTTCAAATAGAACATATTTCTAAAAATAAAGTACATTATGAAAATGATTTTTGTGTGTGTTGATTAAAATAGCTGATGGATTTCATTGAACTCTGTAATTTAATGGGCAATTTTATTCTTTTCTTGCAGTCACCCCAAGCAGGTACAAAAGAAAAGACTCTCTGTTGTTGGTTTTGTACCTCAGGCCCAATATCCTTAAGTGCCAAAATTGAAAGGAAGGGCTATACCCCAGGTACGTAATAGAAGTAATTATAGGAAATGTTTCTCCTTCTCTTTTAAAACTACGTTTTGAAACTGTTAAGTTTGTGTTTAATGGTTTTATATAAAAATTAAGGCTATTTTTACCACCTCAGTCCACATTCAGCAATCACCTCAGAATATTCTAAAGTAAAACAGACAGCACTAGCTGTCTCCAGATTGCTGAAGGACTTTTACTTCTGTTAAACAGACTTTTACACCTCTGTTTGATTGGCTTATGGTGACCTTGCTCTCCTTTAACAGGTAGAGCAGCAAGAGCAAGGTCCTAGTGCATTACAGCTTTGCTTAAACTGCAAATGTAACGAGAACTTGAAATTCTCTTTTGTTTCAGGTGAATCAATTCAGATCTTTGCTGAGATTGAGAACTGCTCTTCCCGTATGGTGGTGCCAAAGGCAGCCATTTACCAAACACAGGCATTCCATGCCAAAGGGAAAATGAAGGAAGTGAAACAGCTTGTTGCCAGCCTGCGTGGGGAGTCCCTGTCGTCTGGCAAAACAGAAACCTGGAATGGCAAAGTGTTGAAAATTCCACCCATTTCCCCTTCCATCCTTGACTGTAATATAATCCGTGTGGAGTATTCACTAATGGTATGTTGCATGGTCTGTTTCATTCTCAAATATGTGTCCTTTTCATCATTCCATGTAAATTCTTAAAAAAGATGGGTTTTGCTAACTTGCTCACATTAAGAATTCAAGCTTCCATTTGAGCTTACAGCCCCTTAGGGGCACAGGCCCTAAAACAGACAAATAGGAACAGGTCCCTCATAGAATCTTCCACAGCAAGATAAACTTAGTCTAATAACCTAATGAAATGCTCATGCAAACTCATGTTTCTTTCTCTTCTTATTTTTTCCAGGTGTACATTGATATTCCAGGAGCCATGGATTTATTCCTTAACTTACCACTGGTCATTGGTACCATTCCTCTCCACCCATTTGGTAGCAGGACATCAAGCGTGAGCAGTCAGTGTAGCATGAACATGAATTGGCTTGGTCTGACCCTGCCTGAAAGGCCAGAAGGTAAATTGACGATACAAATCTAAAACAATTTGCTGTTATTTTAGATTTTTGTCTATCTTACTCATTGCTGTGTCACTAGAAGCGCCCTCTGTCCCTTCCTAACAGGGCCCACAGGAAATCCTTTGTTGTGTGTTCCATTGCCACCTGTTTTCTGTGGAGGAACAGAGTTTCCTCTGTCATTTCCCTTCTCCCTGCCTAGGAAAGGCAGGGAAATCAAACTGTCTGGGGAGGTGGTAGAAGTGGAGGCCTAGTATGCTGTTGCATCTGGGCAGAATGTGGTTACTCTTACCTGCAGTATTCCAGTTGCATCCTTGCTTGTGAGACGTTAAAACTCGCAATAGTAGCGATGTCTTGGGTCTCGTCTGCCTTCATAGCTGTGGCTCTCTGAAAAGAGAGCATAATTCTATGGGATATCTCCCTTCTGGCTGAAGGAGGAACTTCTTTTCCTCCTATCACACACCTAATGAACATATGTTTTGTAAGTACAAATGCTAGACTGATTTCTGAAATCCAAAAGGATTGCAACAGTCTGTCACTTCTGCCTGTACAGAAAAAAACAGCATCCTTGGCATGCTTAAATCGGGGGAAAACAGCCACAATATGCAGTGGTCAGTCTATTTTTGAACATAAGCTTGCTTAACCCTAAAATAAAATGAATTTACCTAGCTCACTTGTGTTCAACAATTTAAAAAAAATCGCTGAATATTTACCTACCTGCAAGTGCCTTTTATAATGACAAAAGTTTAATATTTATCATGTTATATATTTTGACATGCATAAGAACTTGTTCGAACCACGTGTATCTTTTTACCTTCAGCACCTCCGAGCTATGCAGAAGTGGTCACAGAGGAGCAGAGGCAGTCCAGCCTGGTGCCCATAGCCACCTGCGATGACTTTGAGCGAGGGCTCCAGGGACCATTATTTGCATACATCCAGGAGTTCCGCTTCCTGCCTCCCCCCCTCTATTCAGAGGTAGGTGCATCACAGTGTGAGCAGGAACTTGCTGTCTGTCTGAATTCTGTCTTGCAGAATACATGTAGGAAGGTATTCCTCTTTCCAAAAATTCAGAGAAAGCAATAAAGTGAGGAACAGGAAA